CCTTCACACTCTTAATAAAACATTAAAAACACTCCGCACTATGTTGCCGGAGCGCGTTCAGCCGGCTTCCCTGAAGTCTGGCCGTCTTTCTCCATCTCCATATTACAGCCTTCTCTATCCATTTGCGTACAGAGGTGTCCACGCATGAGGCCTGATGTCCTGGGAAGTCGGCTATGATGTCGTCGTATTCAAAGAGAAAGACGAGAATATTTTTTGCCGCTGCAGAGACACTGTGCCTGCCTTTTAAACTTGAAAGATCAGTGGGTATTCTGTGGAACCTGAACACGGTCTGGGAAAAAGTGTTTCTATAAGAAAAACAACTCATTCTCTGTAAAGATCAGTCCTCATTAGCATGCTGGGTTGGCTTCCTGGGGGAGGGGCGGGGGGGCACAAGACCAGCTGGCATTTCCTGCGCCTTCGCTCTCTGCCAAGCCGCCCGCTAAGTGCTGTCCACATGTGATTCCATTTACTCTAGTGACATGTCTCCTGTCGGTTGTGAGGAGTAGATGGGTTGATAAGTTTAGAGCACTTAAAACAACCGGGCTCCTCGTGAGTGAGGCCCAGGGAGGGAGGGACCATTATCACCCCCATTTTATAGCTGGAGAAACTGAGGCAGGGAGGTCCCAGCAGCTTGCCCAAGGGAAAGCAACTCACAAGGCGTTGCGTCAGCTGGAAACCAGCACACAGGAGGAGCAAGACGATGCTCCTACGAAAACTATACTGTGTCCCCACGTCCTTCAAGCGTAATGCCAGCTCCTACTCCACCTGTCATTCTGTTCTGTTTCTCTCTCTTCCTTCTGAGAAATAGTATGAAAATAGGATAATGTCTATTGCCTCGAGAATACTTCTTGACTTTTGATTTCTGTTTCTGGGTCTTGGAGCAGCATCTCCGAAGGTGCTAGCAGGGAATTAAAGAGTATCAGTCCGTGGAGCTAATTCTAATCTTGCTCCAGCGGCCCGAGGGTGGCTGCAGACAGAGGCGGACGCCCTGGGTTGGGTAGAGAGGCATGCTTAGGGTTCACCCTCCGAACTCCCCTTGTTTGTCGTGGATCTCATATTTTGACTCTGGATGAGACAATTTACATAATCTCCTTCAATCCTTTTCCTATAAAATGAGAAACCTGAGCCGGTGGTTAAGCAACGGCTCTGAGTCAAGGCTGCCTCTTCCTCCTCCGCCCCCCTCCCTCCCCTCTCCCTGGACAGGCCCACTCACCCACCTGACTAACCTGTCCTCCAACTCTGACCATTCGTGGACGCCCACCTCTGCCCCAGCCTCGTCCCCGGGTCCCACACCCCGAGCACAGCCTGCAGACTGATGTCCTCCACCTGGCGGCTTCGGACACCCCTCAAACACAGATTGTCTGCACCGCATTCACCTTTCCTTCTTCACCAACACGCTTTGCCCTGTCCTCCTCCGCTTGTTTCCTCCTGTCTTGAAGGTCACCTGACCTCCCGAGTCAGAAACGTGGTCCTCCCTGACCATCCATCCCCTCCTGCTCCTCACTGCACACAGTCCAGTCCTGCAGCTTCTGCCCTCGAAGGACCTCTCCATCCACCCGCTTTTCTCATGCCCAGTGCTCCGCCCTCGGTTCACTCGACTGCAGAAAGGCCGCAGGTCATTCCCTCCTCTCTTCTCACTTCCCACACTGGCAGAGTGAGCTCCGTACTTCGCCAGGGTGATCTCGCGCCTCTTCTGCTGGGGCCAAAGGCATGGTGGTGCTGCTGTGAAGGTGAAGTGATTTAATCCACGTCAAGTCCTTAGACCTCCAAGAGAGGTAGGAAGGCCTAGTGGTCAGAAGTGTGGGTTTGGAGCCACACAGCCAAGGGTCCCATTCTAGGCTACGTGCTTACTGCCTTGGGCAAGTGACTTGACTTCTCTGTGCTCCATCTTCCTCATCTATAATATGAAGGATGGGAATAGTGCTACCGAAGTTTGATGGAGGATTGAATGAATATATGTGAAGTGCTTAGCATAGTAACTGGCATAAAGTGATTAGCTGTCATTCATTCACTCAACAATTACTTATTGAATCAGTGGTCCAGGATCTATTATCAGACTGCCTGGTTTTAACTTTTACTTGCTGTGTGACCCTGGGAATTTACTTAACCTCTCTGTGACTCAGGGTCTTCATATATAAAGTGAAGTGCTCTGAAGGGTCAGCTGCAGCTATCACTGTCACTGTTACTGTTGTTGTAGATACTGTTACTACTCCAAGGCACTCTGCTCGCTGCTGGGCACGGTCTGGGTCCTCGCAGAGTTTTCTCTTCCCTGCTCTGGCCATCCACGTGTCCCTGTGCCTCCACTGGCCCATGACAGTACGCGGCTGAATCTTCTGCCGTCTCTGCATTTTGAGCCCCTTGGGGAAGCCTCCCCCTCATATCAGAAGCACCTGCACATGCCCCTGTCACGGCCCTGCGGGTCTCCTATGCAGGGCTGTGACCTTCTCCCGGAAGCCCAGGGCCAGGTGCCCTTTGTCTGGCTCCTAGGCCCTGGCAAGTAGTAGATGGTGAGTCTGTCCAATGAAGGCATGAATGAAGGAATGAATGAATGTGTGTGGACTGCAGTGTGACCTTGGACAATCACCTTCTCTGGGCTCCTAACTATGGCCTCACTGCTCGGACCTGTACCCCAAACAGGTTTCCATCTTCCTGGAGCTCGGGCCGTGATTCGAGAAATCTCCAAGTTCGGGCCATCAGCAATGCCTCTGGAAACCCTGCCTCAGCCAGAGAGAAGCCACGGGCAGCAGGCGTTCTTGCAGCTCTCCAACTTTTAAGCCTTGATGCTTCTCCTGAAATTCACTTACCTGTTTGTGACCCTGGGTCAGACCACCTGCTCTCCTAGCGAGAGCTCAGTTCGCTCAGAGATCTCTGCTGCTGCCCCGTGCACCTGTCACAGATAGACCTACACACAGCCAGAAACCTCTCCATGTCATCTTCCCAGGGCCTGGGTGGGACCAACCAGCAAACAGGTTTTTACTTGTGGGCATTTTTTTTTTAAACCTTTTTTCCTTCTTTTGTAATGCACTGAAGGCTATTCTGGATTTTTCCTTAAATTATTTTGCCTCCCTAGTTGGTGTTTCTCAAACTCAATCCCAAACCACCCCAGCTCCCTGCTTCTGCATGCTACAGATGTTCATATCCACGTGAAGCAGCCCCCCAAACCAACTCGTACCTTTGCCCAAATCAAGGGGTGTCGATGTGAGGCTGGTCTTGCTCATCAGGCTTAACTTGTAAGCCTCTTCAGACAAGAGGCTGCCCTGACTTCGGGCTCCCGTCCACCTTAGTCAGTGCTTACTAAAAGCTCCTTGTCCAGCCTGCAGCCTGACTTTCACAAGACCCACGGATAGCTCGGTTTATCCTATCAGTTTCCCAGGGCAGCAGGACTGGACTGTGCCCTTGGGTCCTTCTGGTTCGACCCTGAGGTTAGCTGTGCCCCTCACTGCTGCACCTGGGCCTTCCTCAGGTCCTATACCTACACAACTCTCATGGCAAATGCAAGGAAGAAGGGAGCACACAGAAGCGCAAAGCTGATTAACTCCTCCTTAATGACTTGCCGCCCTGAGCAGGTACTTAATCCTGTCCAGGTCTATAATCTGTTTTGTAAACATGTCCTGGAGTTGCCACCAACCAGCACACCGTGCACGGAGGTCCAGAGCTCCATCTGGGTACAAATCAACCCCAGCAGGTCAACTGAACACCGCTCTTGTTTAATTCCCTTACGTGGCTGGCTCCATTCTCCAGAGGGATCCCCGGAGGCTGGTCCAGGCTCACCACTGTCTCCATGCTTAGTGGCCAAGGTGCTCCCTGATGACAGGTGTCTACAACCAGGCTCTCGCATCCCGCTACCAAGAGTCAGAGGGGACTTCCAACCTCACATGCTTCCTGCATGGAATTCCTCTGAAACTCGAAATTAAGTTATCCTGCCAACCTTAGAATCCGCCCGTCTGCCATTTCCTATGGGTAACCAGTGACCTCTAGACAGACATGCACACTCAGGATTCGCTTGGAAAACAGAGGGAGAAAGTTTCCTCCATTCTCCCCGCACACAGAGAAGGGAAACCTCACAAGGCGCAAGGGACCAGCACCAAACTAAAGAACATATTTTATTTTTAATAAAATAGTGGCGCATGAAAAATATCATATATTACAAATATGCATAAGCAGGCCCCCCCTTTCCGGGCGCGGTGAGGAGCATACACTGGACCGTCTCTTGCTTCTGGATCTATTCATGGAAACCATTTGTTTCACAATAGAAAGAGTCAATAAGCTCTTTCGGGACTTCTGAATGATCTTTCTCCCTCTTTTCCCCTCTTTTCCACCAATCAGTCCAAACGTGTATAACATTGGCTTGGTTTCCATTAAAAAGCCACAAAATGTAACACTAAAGGGTTTCTGAGGGCTGGGCCTCTGGGTTCTTTTGTTAGAGACTTCTTTTGTTGTCTTTATGTACAGCAAAATACTTGTTTCTCTTTTTATTTTCACAGAAAGAGAAAAAAATGTATTGCACATCGTTTGCATTTACAAATGTTAGGTTTGGTGGGAGTTTCTGTCCTGGAGAAAGCCCATTTGCGAAGGCTAGGGGCTAGGAGTCTATTTTAAGTGACCGCAAATTCACTGGAGTGTGCAGACTCCTCAGGCCTTCCCTGCCTTCCTGTTTGCACAGAAGTTGCTGTCTTAGAGGCAGCCTTCCTGAGGGTGGGCCCCGGACGGCTCACTCGCCAGAGAGCGACCGGCTCTTCTGCCTCTCTCCCTCCCTCTCTCTCTCTCTCTCCCCCTCTCTGCAGCCCAGCAGAGGCTCTTTAATTTGCAAAGAAGTTATCTCTTCTCTGATTTGTAAATGGATAGCAAAGCCAACTCAAACACACAGATGTATATTTACAGAAGGTTCTAAACAAAAGCTTTCTTCTGGGGGCAGAATCAACCACTTTACCACAAATTAGTAACACCAGAGACTCCTTCTCGGAGCAGCTGTCCTTCACTGAAAACAAAACACGACAAAACCCTTTAAGGACATTTTTACTTTCAGTGTATCACAGCATCCTGAATTTCACGGTAAAAACTTTTTATTTTTTTTTCTTTTACTTTTATTTAAAAAAACCAACCAACCAACCAACCAACCAAGAAAAGCACCATATTTTGGCTCTGCCTGCCACTGCAGCTCGCTGGGAAAGTTTTCCTGCCCGCCTTCTCTCCCGGAGCCCTTCACACACAGGTGGGAGGCTGGGCGGGGATTTCGTATTTCCCGAGATGGGGTTTTTGGGGATGCTGGGCTTTTTTGTAAATTCCACTGTTGGTGATGACGCTGGCCGGTTTCCTTCGGCTCCTTTTCTTGAACCTGCGGCTGCAGACGTTCTGCCAGGACTGCAGCGTCTTGGACGTCCAGATCCACATACCGCTGGTGATGCCCACCACCAGCAGCATGAAAACCTTCACCATGAAGATCTCTACTGCGGGGATGGAGGCGGCCAGGAGACAGTCCAGGGTTTTAGTCTGGTTGTTCATTCTGCACTTATGCTGCGCGGCCAGGACTTTCCAGTACTCCATGTTGAGGCGCTCGTAGAAGTAACAGGCGATCACACAGGTGGCCGGCACGGTGTACAGCACGGAGAAGACCCCGATCCTCACCATGAGCTTCTCCAACTTGTCCGTGTTCTCTCCGCCCGTCTTCATCACCCTCCGGATGTGGAAAAGGGCCACGAAGCCCGAGAGAAGAAAGGAGGTGCCGATGACGAGGTAACAGGCCAGCGGGATGAGGACGAAGCCGGTGAGCGCGTGCACGTCCATGCTGCCCACGTAGCAGACGCCGGTGAGCTCGTCCCCCGCGACCCTGCGCATCACCAGGATCAGGATGGTCTTCACGGCCGGGATGGCCCAGGCTGCCAGGTGGAAGTAGCTGCTGTTGGCCTCAATGGCCTCGTGGCCCCACTTCTTGCCCGCAGCCAGGAACCAGGTGAGCGTCAGGATCACCCACCACAGCGAGCTGGCCATTCCGAAGTAGTAAAGGACCAGGAAGACCAGGGTGCAGCCCGTGCTCTCCAGGCCCTCCTGAATGACGTAGAGCTGCCCGCTGTCGCGGTCGCAGGCGATGCTCTCGGCGCCGGCAAAGAGGCGGATGATGTAGCCCACGGAGTAGACGCAGTAGCACATGGAGAGGAAGATGATGGGGCGCTCGGGGTACCTGAAGCGGGCCGGGTCGATGAGGAAGGTGAGCACGGTGAAGGCGCTGGAGAAGCAGCACAGCACGGACCACACGGCCAGCCAGACCACGGCGAAGTGCTTGTCGTCGCGGCTCCAGTACACGTCCACGCCGGGCGTGCAGAGCGGCGCGCACGACGCGCTCTTCTCCACGCGGTGGAACTTGCCCGGGTTGTCGCAGCCGGCGCGCCCCGGGCCCCCGTCCTTCAGCGGGTGCTCCTGCGCGCTGTGGGGCCGCTGCGGCCTGAAGAGCGGCGGGAACATGCCCGAGCCCCGGGGGGGCTCGTCCGAGCCGTTGTTGGGTGCCTCCATGCACAGGTAATTGGGGTCGTTCTTGTTGGGGAGTTTGCTGCAGTCCAGGGAGTCGGGCCACTTGAAGTTGAACTGCTCCATGATCGGGGAGCACTTGAGCCGGGCCTGCTCGCACATGACCCGGCAGGCGGGGATGGGGGTGGAGACTTGCTCGGTGCACATGGGCGCGTACAGCGAGCACAGGAAGAAGCGGAGGTGGCCGTGGCAGCCGTACTCCACCAGCGGCGCGAACTCGTGCAGCTGGATGGCGGCCTCGCGCTGGTTCTCGTGGCCCATCAGGTTGGGCATGCGGGTCATGTTGTAGCCAATGTCCTTGCACATCGGGATCTCGATGGGCTGGCACTTGCCGTCGCCCGGACGCTCCATGTCCATGGAGCTGATGGCGGCGCACGAACCCATCATCTGCAGGACCAGCCACAGGCGGGGGCCCGGGCGCAGCATGGTGGCGTCGGAGGTGCCCTCGCGGGGAGGTCCGCTCCCCTCAGAGCCGCCGCTCCCGGGCTCGGGCTCCGGCTGCTGGCCCCGGCTCCTCGTCCCCGCTCGGGCCCCCGCCCATGCCCGCCCCGCCTGGCCCGAGCGCTGCGCACGGCGCCCCCGGGCCCTGCTCTCCGCGCCCGGCCTCCGCCGAGGTGGGGCCGCGGAGGAGAGGAGCAAAGTTTGCGAACAATACCGGGAAGCGAGAGAAGCCCCCGGAGCTCTCGGCGCGGGCTGCAACTCTGCCGCGGCAAACTTTGGCCTCTTCTGGGAGCGCCCAGGCGGCGGGGGCGCACGGTGGCCGGGCCCGCGCGCGGCGGCTCCTCCCTCCCCGCGCCGGCCTCGGCCCGGCCCGCCCGCAGCTGTTTCGAGGATTGCGTCCCGGGATGAGAAGACTCGCAAAAAGGCGAAGGGAAAAAAGCCGAGCGGGGAGAGGCCCCGCCCCCGGGCCGCGCGCCCCGCCCCCGCCGCTGCTTTGCATGAGAAAGCCGAGCGCCGGGCCGCCCGCTCCCGCCGCCCCGCCGCGCGCTCCCGGCCCCGCGGGGTCGCCGCCCGGCCCGGCCCGGCCCTCCCGCCGCCCCCCGCCCTCCTGCGCCGCCCTCTAACTTTGCCCTCGCCGCCTCCCCGCCTGCGCCCCTGTGCCGGGCACCCCAAGGGCGCCGAGGTTACTGGAAGTTCGGAGACTGGCCCGCGAGGGGCGGGGTGGTCCGCGGCGGGGGCTGGGGCGCGTCTTCCCTGGTTTTTATGGTGGGTCCCGGGCGGAGGGCGCTTTCAAAGCGAGGTGGGATTTGCGTTTTATAGCCTCGGCCATAAAGTGGCCCCTCAGCTTGTAAACCTGCCCGCGTCTTCCCGAGGCCGGGAGTTAGTTACCAGGCCTGCGCTCGGGGCTCGGGCTCCGGCTCCGGGGAGGGGTTTTCTTTGAAATTTCAAAGGGAAAAGCTAAGGGCAGGGGGGAGGGGCTCTGGGAAACCAGATTTTAGGGCCGCTCATCCGAGGTCTCGGCAAAGAAGGCGAGGGGGAGGGGCGGGGAGCTTCCTGGGACTTACGACCCCCCTCCCCGGGGAGCGGGGGCTCGGCTTGTACAATGGTGACCCCCGCCTCCAGGAAAACCGCGGAGCGGAGGGGCCTCGCGCCAGGCAGGGTTGGTGATTTCTTCTGGGCGGCTGAGTTTATTTATTATAGGAAGTCATTCGCTCGTCGGGTATTTATATTATTTGGCGAGTGATTTGCCCAGCCTGCGCCCTCCTTGGCTACAGACCCGCAAAATGAGGCGGAGTTGGGAGCAGGAGGTGGGAGGGCGGTGCGTCAGCTCGCGCCGAGGGTCCCCAACTCCCGGGGGAGGCGGAGGCGCGCACGCCACTCAGTTTTCATAGAAAGTGGAGAAGGAGCGACCTGGCCTAACGCCCTCGGCTCACCCGCCTCGGATTGGGTCCAGTTTGTGATCAAGTCTCTTAGGACACGGCGCTCCCCGCCCCTTCCCCGGCACTGCGAGTGCGCGCTGGGCGCACACACCCACGCCTCGCCTGCAAAGAGCAGGCAGAGCGCTTCACCTTGCATCCCGCGTTAACCCTTAAATAAACAGTACCCCTAGGAGGTTGCCGGGTCTCTCTCCTCCTAGGCGCCCTTGAAGTCAGGGTCTTTTTAAGTTCTTCTGAAACTCCAGGATCAGGTACAGAGGGGGCAGTTGGAGGACTTTCCCCGGTGGGAGGAGAGGTCAGAGGAGGCCGCGTGCACACGGGCCTCTTGATCCTCCTGCCTGTCTGAGGGGAACGCTGGAGAGGTGTGCAGCGTGTGCAGACATCCTGGGGGTCCGTGCTGGGGCCCCTCAGCCCTGCAGCCTTCCACCGGGCTCTGCAGGAGCTCGTGCTCCCTGCAGTGGAAGAGGCTCCGGGGGCTGCCAGCTTTCTCTAGGCAGCGCCCGGGAAGGAGCAGCCACTGACAGGCCCTCCTAGTCCCTTGGGAAGCTTTTTGTAAGCGGTGGCAGAAGTGGGGCAGTTCCTCTGAGAGGCTTTGGAGAATATTGGCTTTTATTTAAAACAAGTCGTAGGATTTTACATCTGTAAGAAACCTGGGAGAAATTGCTTCTCCACTTATCCATCCATCCATCCACCCATCCATGGAACACTTCCTGAGGAGAGTGAGGCTGGGACTTGCCCAGGATGCCACAGCTAACAGGCGGGTCCCTGCGCCTGGCACTGCCTCACTGTCTGTCCCTGGATCTCAGTGGGAGACGGTGGAGGATGTTAAGATGAGGCAGAAGGTGGGAAAGAAAGCAAGATGCTCGGGCAGTCGGGACAGCCAGCTTCAACTGGATTTCCCGAGTGAAAACATCGCATGCTTTTTAAAAGGCTGACATTTTTCTTATGATGGTTTTATTTTTTTTTTTAGTCTAGTGAGTTATTTTCAGAAGCCTTAAGTTTAAAAAGATTCAGCGGACATCACTTGGCTTTTCTAGAACTTTCCTTGCCAAGGTCCTTCCTCGGCACCATTTCCATTCTCTTTCTTTTTGTTTCTCCCCCTCAGAAACTACTGGAAATATAAATGTGAAGGAGTAAGAGAGAACACCAAACCCCAGGAGCAGGGCGTGCGTTCCTAATTGATCTTTTATGTGCTGTATTAATTCCGCCTTCTGCAGACCCATTATTTTAGCGATAACCACTTCAGATGGCTTTCTTCTCTCGTTTTTATAAAAATGTCTGCAGAAGCGCTTCACTCTGCCCAGCTGAGACGGAAACCAACAAATAGACATTATAGAAAAATGAGCGCTCAGAGAAATCAGCAACTGCAAGATACTCTGTAACTAATAAATGAAAAGGGCCTTTTGATGGCTCCAGCTGAAAAGATATTTTATTTTATTTTTTTCCTGTGTGTGGGATTTGAGATGTGTGATTCTAAGGAGCAGCGGGGTCTCCCGCTGCTCAGCCCTGGCTAGGAACCGGCCCCCCTCTGGCAAATGTTATGGAGAATTGGGAGGAATTTTATGGCTGTCTTTCCCTCAGCTCTTTTTTCTTTTGTCTTCTTTGAAGAATGACTTTAGACATTTTATTTACATATTTAACCATGGATGAAAGAGGAAAAAGAAAGCATTTGGGGCTGTCGTGGGAATAGTGATATGTTTAAATTAATGGAAATCTTATTAGGTCTCTAAAATTTTGAGTAAAGGTTTTTAATGAAACTTTATGATTAAACATGATTTCAAATAATATGCAGGGACAAGGAATATATATATATTTTACCCTAACCTCCTAAAGAACTGCATTGGAGAGCTACTCTTAAACTTTAACTGCGTTCAAGTTCTTGCAAATGTTCGCCCAGAAAAGTAAAAGGCTTTTGAAAGGAAATGTTTCAGGAATCAGGCAATATATTGGTGGAGAACTGAAGAGAGGCAGAGTTTCATTGCGTTCTAGCAAAGTCCAATGTGTAAAATACTTTGACATGGATATTGCTAAAAATCAAAGTCGTATCTCTTCTTATTATGTTATAGTCAGTGGAAATTTTAAGCACTGTGCGAGGGTTTCTGAAATGGGATTAGAGAAGACTCACATAATCTCTTTAAGATAAAAAGTACTGACACTTTCAGCAATAGAAAGAAATTAAACCCTGGACTTAGCATGTTACAAGCTAATTTTAAGAGCAAACTTGTGGAACAGCAGCAAAGCTGATGAAAAGAAAGAAACCAGGTTGGTAACGTTAAAGATAAAAAGTGGTTCTGATGATCTTAGTGCTCTTTCTGGAGCTCCCACGTGGATGGTCTCTGCTGGCACATTCAGGTTTGGTGATCCAGTGACATGAGTGTTGCGATTCTTCTTTTATCTCCTAATGTCATCAATATTTGTATTTCATCAGGGACTTCTCCAACTCTACTTTCAAGTAAGAATGAAATGTGATCTGCTGATAATTGATTCCAATACGTACTATTTTTCCTGACCTCATCTTGTGTCACGTTTCTGCAGAAACTTATCATCAGATTAAAAAAAAAAAAAATCAGGCCTGGAAAATTCTATTTTCTAACCAAGTAGGCATGCTTTTTCTCTCTGCCCCACATTTTTCTCCAAGGAAAATACCTTTAGTCATCAGCAGGGATACTTACTAAAGAAAACACTCTGTTTGTGTCACCAGAGAACCAATGCAAGTTGCAGCAAATTCGACAGGCACAAAAGTTTTAATTACACCTAAAAACACCAGTTGTAAGATGTTGGTTGGTTGGGGGCTGGGGGGGATGAGAAATAAATGGAAAAGCATCCACGTCATAAAAGGGATGGCTGGAGTGCACTGTGTGTTGCTCCACGACAATTTGGCAGCCATTTTAAGGCCACTTCCCTTGAAATGTGGTTTGAAATATTACCAAAGGTTCCACGGGGTGCATTGGTGTGAATTGCAAATCAGAGCATGTCTATAATCCCCCTTTCAAGGCCCGGCTTTGCATCACTGGCGTCTACGGGCTCCCCACTGCTTCTGGCCAGGAGGAACCATTCAAGGGGGCAGCTTCTCTCCTCTATTCCCACACTCCAAAAAACAACACCGCAGACAGACACCCTCCAACTAAATTAGATTAAACTCCTTCTCTTCCACAGCGAATTAGCCTTTTCACTGCCCAAGGTTCATTATTCAGCTCCTCCTAATTTAAAGATACAGAATTTCTTTTTCATCTTGGCGACGACAGCAAAAACAACAAACATACTGAGAAAAGGACAAAGCCGGCCTTTGGTGGAAGTGCTTCCAAATTACAAGGACATTATCTGTTTAAAATATAGGAAGGCTTAGCCCATGCCTGCGCAAGAACACGAACAGATCGACCCTGCCCCTGCGACAGAACCGGCCCCCAGAAAAAGTAGTTCAACCTGCAATTCTGTATCGGGATGCTTTTTTGGAAAAGTCTATGAAAAAAAAAATCACAGAATTCCGGGAAAATGAAACAAGAGACTGTCTTCCTGTGTGTGTGTGTGTTTGTTTTATTTTGTTTTGTATTTATATGCCAACCAGCTTTGAGGGACGTGAACGCACATGAGATGAGTTCAGACTTCATTTTTTGACATCACTGCTATGCTTTCCCCGGCCCTTGGCTGTTTGGAATATATTGATTTAATTACTCACCTTCCCATCTGTTTCCTCTCTGCTCCCCTTACCCCGGAACCCTTTCATTGCTGTCCCAAGGAGCCGGCTACCACACGGACCTAAGAAGGAGGTCAGCCCTCCACAGGCTGCTGCCCCTGCACAGGTGAGGGAGGGCCTTAAACAGGGAGACCCTCCCTCCAGGGAGAGAGCTGGAATGCCCACAAGTCTGCTCCCGCCTTAAAAAGAAGCGAGAAAGAGCCACACTCCTGCCTTTGACCTTATGTTGGCTGAGTCTGAACCCACTTGGCTAAAACCATGGGCAGCCCTCCTCTGTGGTGTGAACTGTGTGGGATC